CCGAATTTCCTACAGTGGCTGGAATTAATGTGCAATATGCAGACAAGGCATGCAAACACTGACACCATTGAAGTTGTGCAAAAGCATTTAGCCTGCCTTAAAGTGTCATGCAAACATACCTTTCATTTCATCTACACACTGCCCTAGTGATTAGTTTGCTGGTTGCTAAGTGGAAGGGTCTTCATCTAGAGATAATAGTGTATCTGAATACAATGCTCTATAGAGCTTTATGGAGGCTGGCTCACACTTGCATATTGGTCTGAAAGTGGGTGTGGGAGCACTGAGTTTTAATCTTGGCTGTGATCCAGACTTGATGTATGACTTAGGACAAGTCACTTCCTACCTCAGTTTCCTCATTAGTAATATAGATAATATTTAGCTGCCTATTTCATAGGGATGTTGTGAGGCTTTATTAGGTAATGGTTGCACAACTGTGAAGAATTATTACTGTTGTGGTTTATAAACCTTGGATCAAGTAGATTTTGTTTTTGTTTTTTTTTCTTCAGGAATATATCATCCATGTAGATCCAGCAAGTCAGCTAGGGCTGAATTCAGACAGTGTTCTAGGCTACAGCATTGGGGAAATCAAACGCACAAATAGTGCAGAGACACCTGAGCTGCTGCCCTGTGGCTATCTGGTTGGGGAAAACAACACCATCTCGGTTGCTATCAAAGGTAATTATTCTTTATCCCTTTGTTGTGATTCTCAGCTATTCCACTTACAACAGTTTTCTTTGGCATCAGGGAATTTGGAGAAACAGAGAAGCTTTCCTGTATTTCTTTTTCCTGTCTCTAACCCATCCTACGGTTACATGTGTTAAAGTAAACATGGGACACTGAAGAGCAATAGTACATTGGACTGTGCCCAAATTCAGAAGCTTTTCTTACTCATGTAATGATGCTGATGATAATTGTACTTGCAACAATTTTCATTCCAGGGACCTGAAAATACTCTGGGCCAGAGTCTGATACTGTGATTCACGTTGCTTAAAACATGCTACACAATTGGCCCCATTGACTTCAGTGAGATTGTTTGTGGAGTTAGTTTACTGCTCGGTATAGGACTCCTGGCCTGTGAGGTATTTTATATCCTCAGTACAAATAGAAGACAGGCAAGGTTGGTTATTTGCTAAGAATCAAGGAAAAATCCCAACTGTCATGGCATCAAGAACTCCATTTCTTTTCCATTACTTTGGAAGAAGATCTTTGATGGTTTTTTAGACAACCTAAAGGCTTCCCCATTCCTTCCTTCTTGCCATACTTCAGTCCTGTGCTGAAGCCTGCCTCCTTTCAACTGAAGAGGATGGTTGGACAGGTTTTTTTTATAGACTGACAGCGCCACTATCTTAATCAACTGAAAGTGCCATTAAGCAAGAGAAAACATTCACTTCCTCTCAGATAAAGTGCTGAACAGGCCTGTCATAAAAAGAAGAGAGATGGTTTCACCTTCACAGCCCTGCAAAGCAGCAGTACCATACTAACCAGCATGGCCCTACCTGTATCATTAGGGGAAGTCTGTACGGCTGTGTAGAGATGTTTGAGCTAGCTTCGTGACATGGTAAATTAGTCCACATTATGCTATATACTGGGATAGCTAGACTACTGTGGTACCCCACCTACTTGGTTTAAAGCTATATCTATGCTACACTGACATCTTCAATATAGACCTAGCCTTTAATATCAGAATATGCTGAAAGTGAACTTAAATACTAATGTAATTTGTATTTGAAATGTGTTGCTTTCAAATTCCTCATCAATGTCATTGCTTACTGTGGAGCTCCTAGAATTTGTATTTACATTTTTTTACAGGGCTCAGTCCAGCCTCAGGGAACCATTTTAGGGCTATTATGAAATGAGTGAGAGCCAGAACCTACATTAGGGAAGCCCTGCTGCTTTGGTGGCTCAAAGCTGTGCTAATGCTCTATAAACTCGTCACTGGGGGATCCTCCGCTGGCATTGAGCTGTGTTAGCAGATCCTGCACATGCTTCCACCCTGTAGCTGCCATGTGGAGCCTGGTTGGTGCTTGTCTACACTCCACTAATCCTCAACTTAGTAATGATCCCTTCAGGCCATTGGCAGCTAACATAAATGAGATGAGAAGAGTCTAGCACAGACCAACATGTCATTTTTGAGCTATGTCAAACCCTCTACAATTACAGTTTTGGATGCAGGGCAAAAGACTTCAATGCCTGAATGGTGGCAATGGTCTAAGATCAATCACCTCATACTTCTCCTGTGTAAATGTATGAGAGGTGATACAGTATAGGAATAGCTCTAAGAAAAATATTTCTGACAAAAGAGCAAGGGTGAAAACTTAATTACCAATGTGGAGCCTATTTCAGGTTATTCAGATGAGCCTGAGTTTGACATTCTGCAGTGCCTTGTAGTATAAATTAAATCAAAATATTGATTAAGAACTTGTCATATTAAGCTACAATATAACTATTTATTCAATTTGTAATAGTTTTACTAGCACTTTGGAAGCTCTTTTATGAGAGAGCCATGCTTCTACTAAAAATTCTATTCTGTTCAATTTGTTCAATCTCTATACTTTACAGATAGAGTGGTGCATACAAACATTTGCTCTTTTAGCTAATCATACAGGTGCTAACAATCCTGTCTGCCTATGATCTCCTGATGTTTCTTTTTTCTATTTGTTTTCAAACATCGTGTTTACTTGGGCCAATTCTGCCTAAAGTGCGTGCTGATATTGCACAAATGCTCTTCTGTGAAAGATTTTATGCCTGAAGATATATCTATCAGAATGCACAGAAAAAATTAAGTGCAAATGTCTCAGATGTTTGGGGAAAGCAGGGGGAATTTGCAATAGATTGTTTTGTATTGCAAAGTAAAAATAAGTGTCTGCATTCCCCCAGGATTTCTCTTTCTATGACTGTGCTTGACAATGAGATAACCTGAAAACAAATTACTCTACTGCAGAATTAAATTCATGTTGTCTCTCAGCTCTTGATAGACAAAGTAAATATTAACTTTTCCATGTGGGAATTCATATAATGGAGCTGCCACATAATAGTCAGAGTATATGTACATATAATCTGTAAACATTTTTATGACTACTTTGTTTAAGGCAGGGCATAAGGGCCACAGGTTGCATTTGACTAGTCTGGGAGCTAGAGCCAAAAAACCTGCAGTATCCAACCTGTGTCTAGATGTCCCAGCCCTGAACCTTTTTTCATTCAATACAACTTCATCTAGTGTGAGAAATATTTGGGGTAGGATTGGTGTAGTACAGTGGTTCTCAGAGAGCCCACATCTGCAATACAGCTGTTCATTGCAATACAAA